GGAGTGTTTCAGATTTTTGGTTAGGGCTGCTGAAGCTATACAGTCTGCCTCTGTGGAGCAGGGCCTCCCGTGGCTCCCAAGCCTTCCACAGGCAGGAGAGGGCGCTTGTCCCTTCCCACTCAAGCGTGTCACCTCCCTGCTTTCCCGCCCACGGCTCAAGTCCATGTCCCCAGCACTTGGGACCCATGGCAGCTCCTGGCTGCCAAGCCCCTGGCACATGTGCTCTCGGGCCTGTGCGTGGCATGGAACGGCCCTCCCAGTTGGGCCTCAAACGTCCTCTCCCAGAGGCCTCCTGGGTCCGGGCGGCTACGGCCCAAACCCGGCCCGGCTGTGCTGTGGCCCGACCCGCTGCACCACGAAGAGCTCGGTGTGGAGGACTCTGCACACAGGTGGGGGACAGGGGGCGGCCGAGCGGGTGAGAGGCCCGGCAGAGGCGGCTGCGCCTGGGAGCAGCTTGGACAGCGGAGATTCCTGCTCCTCACAGACCTGGGCCTTCCCGAGAGCAACGCGCACGCAAGGGAGGCCTGGAGCCTGCTCTGTGAGGGACAGTACGATCTCCAGAGGCTGAGGGACATGCTCCAGGACACCCAGCGCAGGAGAATGAGGGGACTTTGGCCTCCCTGGGCCAGGCACAGCCCAGGCTTGAGTCCCTGGCTGCGAGTCCACATTCCGTCCTCTCACACAGGACAGCATGACAGAGACAGGCGCCCCGGCGGTGGTGGTGGGGGGCAGAGCCACCTGGAAGAGCAGCAAGGCCCTTGCTTGCCTTAGCTTCCCAGCCACAAAACGGGCACAGACTATAAGGCACAGCTGTCCCCTCGGCCTCAGGGGACGGGTTTCCAGACCCCCAGCCACGCCTGAGGCCACAGCGAGTGTCGGACGCTATGTGGACTGTTCTTCCTGGGCTCCAGACCCAAGGTAAAGTTCCAGTGATAAATGAGGTGCACAAGAGATCACTACCAATAACTAATAAAACGGAGCACTTCCAACACATTCCTATAAGGTATTAAACGCTAACACTGCTCACTCCCGGCTCTTCTGCTTTGTAGTTCCCACCGGAGTTGACTGCAGGCATAGACACCACCAGAAAGGAGGGATGGGCTGTGGTGTGCACACCGGCGGCTCCCTGGAGGTTTGTGTGCTGGACTTCCGGTCCCCAGGGTGGCTGTGTGAGAGCCGAAGGGACCCGAGAGAGAGGTGGCCCAAGGGGGACCGTGAGCTGCTGGGTGGGATGGGGACCCGGTCTCTGGAGTCCTGAGTTTTTGAGGGCTTGGGACTGAACCCAGGGCCTCCCACGTGCTCCACACCTGCGGCCCTTAGTGTCCTGTTCTGAGAGGGGTCTCTGCTGTCACACGAGCTTCACCACGGCGAAGCTGCCCATGGCTGGGCCCTCCGCAGAGGCTGAATCCAAGTGCCAGCCCACCCAGTCTTCACCTTGGGGCCTCCAGAACTGGGAGCTAAGGAATACTTTCTCTAAAATTAGTCTGCTTTGGTATTTCATTATAGACATCCCAGGATGGGATGTGCTTTAAAACCAGCGCTGCGCAGACCTGATTGCTAAAGCTTTCACTGAGGCCAGGCCCAGGCTCTGCAATCAGAGACACGTGGGGCAGAAGGGTGGGGCGGGGCCGCTGGCTGGGTCCCCGTGGAGCTCCCTGTGGCCGTCCGTGAGGATGGGCCCTGTGGTGGTTCCTGTGGTCACCCCTGCATGGGCCCCACTCTATTCAGCTGCAGTTTGACGGGAACAGGGCCAGGCCGGGGAAACAGAAACGAACACTCCATCCTGAGGGGATGATTTTCTTTCCACTTTCAAATAACGGCTTTGCCACAGATGGGTGAATGGGTACAGGGGAGGAGGGAGATGGGAACATGGACTCTAAGTTGGACTTGTTTGTTTTTATGGAAATAGGAAAGTCTTCTTTTAGACTGGGGGTTATAAAATGCAGGGCAGGGGAAGAGAGCCCAAGGGCTCTACAAAGACAGAGGAAACCGGGTGTGGGGACACAGGCGCCTGATCCCAGTGCTTTAAGAGGCTGAGGTAGGAGGAGCACAAGTTCAAGCCCAGCCTTGGCAACTTAGCACCTAAATGAGACATTTTCTCAAAATGCCTCGGGAATGTAGCTCATTATGAAGGGCCTGGGTTTGATCCCTAATACTGCGAAAAATAAAAACAACACAAAATGAAACGACAGGTGAGCAGGAGATGAACTCTCCTGCAGTGTGAGGCTCTGGGTCCCAACCTCACCATCCAGACCACTCATCTTGGGCAGATCCTGCAGCTTGGGTGCCAGCCTGGGCCTGGCATGCATGGCTGTGTCTCAGCTACGTCCTGCAGCCCCCCTCCCCGCACACTTGGGATCCCGGTCTGGCCGGCCTCTCAGGGTGAGGAGGCCCTGCAGGCATCCGGTGAGCACCCAGCACTCCCGCTTGCTTCCCTGACAGCCTAGGGCTGCGTGGGAGAGGGGCCGGGTGCCCTTCCTCTGGTGTTCCCTTGGGACGTGGGGGGGCGGCCCTGAGCAGCTGCCCCCGGACAAGTGGGTCCAGAAGCAGAGTCCCGAGGCCCCTGACGCCCCTCTGAGCAGTCCCCAGGGGCCGCTCTGCTTCTCCACCACGTGCTCCCCACACCCATGGCCACATCCCAAGGGACCCCACACGGGCGCTCATTCGGAATGCAAGGCCTGACAACCTGTTTTTTCCTTGCCGGGACACCCCCCCCCAATTCGCTACCTCCTCTTTGTCATTTAAGTCTCAGTCCAAATGCCATCTTCTGCAAAGAGCCTTTGGATTATTTAATCCAAACGATACCTGTCCATCCACCCTGCCAGCATGCCCCTCACATCCTTGTTTGATTCCTTTTTTTTGTCTGAGACAAGGTCTCTCTATGTAGCCCACGCTGGCCTCCAACTCATGGCAATTCTCCTGCCTCAGCCTCCCAATTCCTGGAACTATAGGCATGCGCAATCCTGGCCAGCTTCCTTGTTTTATTCTTTTTTAGCACATTACATTATTTTCAAGAAATGTGTCCACTGCCTTCTGAAAGTGCAGAACAAACGACAAAGGCATTAAAGCTCAGTCTTAGAAGCCAAGAAAGTCAAAATACTAAACATGAAAACAAGGATTTTCACGCAGGAAACAGGCAATGAGAAGAAAGTCTCATGTTTCCTGCGAAAGTTGTGAGTGGACCAGATGAAGCCCCATGGGACAGACAAGTCTTTCCACCCCACAGGCCAGAGTAGAAGAGGATAAAGGGGCTGTGCTATGAGACGCCGCCGGGCAGAGCGCAATGTCTGCTGCTCAGCCCACGCCAGTCTCCTGCGCACACAGCCGTCCGTGATCGGGCCCAGCTGATCTGTGTGCAGCACGGAGCCCGGCATGGGCCAGCCAAGCCTCGGATTCATGAGGTGCTGCAAAATCACTATAACAGAAATGCTGATGCTGCTCCCCAGTGCAGAGTGCCGCGCCCAGCACTCCTCTGCAGGGTCCATTGTTGGTTTCTATTCTTCTGAGCTCAGAATCCCCCAGTGCTGTTAATTCCCTGATGTCTGCTCTCTCGGGGCCAAGTGGGATCTGAAAGCTCTGGAAGCCGGTTTTGCCTTTAAATACTATGCCTGCAATTCTAGGGGGTGCCACCAGGTAGCAGTATCACAAAACCGCAAAACTAGTTGAAGTGCTAAGACTACTTTTAATGCAAATACAACCGTTAACTTAAAATAGATGCATTAAAAAAAAAGATACATGCATTCATATATTTTAAAACCTATTATGTTGAAATAAGTTAAAAATATGAAAATGGCCACAGTTGGCCAGGATTGGAGAAGAGTGACATTCACACGCTCTTAGTGAGAGTGTAGATTAGCAGGGTCTCCCAAGGTCAATCTGGCAGCACACTGCACCCTTTGGGGCAGCAGATCGACTTCTAGATATTTATCTGAAGCCTACATTTATTCCCAGAATGTCGACTGTAAGGATGAGAATTGTCAAAGTAAATAATATAACTTGGAGACCGGCTAAAGAAATTGTACTTGCAAGTAACTGCTACACATGTACCTGTAACACTGTATAAGAATTTTGTTTTTGGTGTTGGAGGATGAACCCAGGGCCTCTGCTTTGGGCTACGTTGTCCCCAGCTTGGTTTTTTATTTCTAATTTTGAGACAAGGTTTTGTTAAGTCAATAGGTCGCTCAACTGGGCTTGAACTTACAATCCTCCTGCCTCGGCCTCCCGAGTGCTGGGATTACAGGTGTGCACCACCACACCCGGCTACGACATGCGTTTCTGACCTCTGATATTTTGCATTTTCCTCGTAGTAAATGATGCCACCCGCTGGGTCGAGAGGCTTGCAAAGGGAATCCCCAGAAGGCCAGCTAACTAGACCGTCCGGGAGGAGAGTTCCTCAGGAAAGCCTGGCCCATGCCCACGGAAGGCCGGAGTATCCAGTGGAAGCCCGCACTCCCCAGAGCTGGCTGCCGTGGGCACAGTGGGAGCCAACCCGAGTCGGGCAGAGGTGGGCGCTGGGCACAGTGGTGGCCCCGGCCCGCATGGCCCCATGGAATGTGGCAGAGCTGCAGCATCCTGCCCCGTGGGCACAGATCATGTCTGCAAGCTCTCCCCAGCTCCTCCGGCTCCTGGGGGCGCCGCGTCCCCACTGTGCCCTCCACAGGGCCCCTCCCCTCCTGCCACACGATGCTGTGGCCTCCGCCACAGCGACATCTCTTCCAAGTGCCAGCCATGCTGGGCCCAGCTGTCCCCGCCTCCCGACAGGAGCCTGGGCAGGAGGGAGCGGCTCCTTCGACCCTGCCGGCTAGCACCTCTGAGACGCCCACGGAGGCTGCCCGCTTGGCCTCGGGCAGCCCTGGAGCCCACGCTAAGCCCCGCCATGGAAAGGTGCAGGCCCGCAGAGCAGAGGAGGAAGGCAGGAGCGAGACAGTTCAGTCAGGGCTCGGGAAGGAGGTCGGTTTAAGAGGAAAGGGCGAGAGAGCAAAAAATAAATGACAAATTACCGGGTAGCCATCGCGTCCTGATTGCCCCTGTGGTAATTAATATGTCATTAATAATCAGACCTTCAGCAGAAAACCATATGGCAACACTTAGATTTCGGCGGCCGCATCCCCTCCCTCCGTCTGGCTGGCAGCAGCGTCTGTGGGTGGGCAGCGCTGTTCAGGGGAGGACGCGGGGGCTCCCGTGGGTGGGGACAGAGAACCCTCCTCCCACCTTACGTGGCCCGGGCACACGCACGCATAGTGGGCCCTGACTTCACACGGCACAGACCTCTCAGGGCCCAGGGGCTCTTTTGCAGGGGTCACTCGCTCCTCCCTGGGGTGTACTCACTGCTGGGGTGTGTCTCTGTCCCTCACAAGGCCAGGCCTGAAGCAAGCAGTGCCGCCCGGCCCTGTCCCGCAGCCAGCGCCCTCCCCTCCTCTGGCTCCCTGCAGACTGCAGCTTGGGAATCTCTGCATGTGTTCAAGGCATCTAATGCTTTAATAGCCAAGAAACGTCAAAAAGTCACTCAACCCTCTGCGCTTTGCGTTTCAGAGTTCACACCAGGGCGCCTCCGTGGACACCCGGGAACCATCCACCGGAAACGGACACAGACACATTCTGGTTGGCTTGTTGGGTGGTGCTAAGGGCGTGGAGAAGCCCGGACTCCAAAGGGTGCCGATCCAGAAATCAATCATGGCAAGTGGAAGTCGGAAACAAAAAGGCTCACTGGAAAATAATTCCTTTGCGAGGCTAATTTTGGCTCAAGTCAGCTGTCAATGTGCTTGAACGGATTTGCTGGGATTTATCAGGTTCTGAAAAACGGCCAAGAGGATCAAAGGCAGACACATCCTCGGCCCTGGAGAGCGTGGGGTTCCGGCCACTGACAATCCCCTCCCATTCAGAGCCACCTGCTGGCCAGGGGATGTTCAGAGGCCCCTTCGACTTCCCGGCATCCTCCCACCCGGCAACGGAGATGGAGTCTTGGGCCTGCTGGGCAAGCGCTCCCCACTTACCTACCTCTTTGGTCCTCTGAAAATGTTATTTTGTGAGAGACTCTACGTGGCCTGGAACTTGTGCTCCTGCCTCAGCCTCCCAAGCAGCTGGGATCACAGGGGTGTGCGTCACAGCCCTGGCCAACCCTCACACCCTTCTTAAGTGTGACCGTGTTAAGTGCCCCTGCGGCACCTTCACCCAGAGAGTGAGGCTGCAGTCCCCACCAGTCTGATCCTGGGAGTGTGACCTTCCGGCAAAGGAGAAAGCAAATTCCAGGCAGCGTGACAAGGGCTCACTTCCAGGCCACTGCCCGACTCCACTGCCTGTTCTGCCAAAGCTTGTGAACTAAATATATCAGTAGCTGCAGGCCCTTTGAAAACAGGGGCTCTGGGCTGGGGATTTAGCTCAGTGGTTCTGCTGCTTGCCTTGCAATCGCAAGGTCCCAAGTTTGATCCCAGGTACCAAAACCAAAGCCAAACCAAACAAAAAAAACAAACAAAAAAGAAAAACAGGGGCTTGGGAGCGCATTTTGTGCACTAGAGACTTCTGTGCACTACGTTGAGCTGAAGACTCGGGAGCGATGAGCCTGCGCCAGCTCTCTCGGAAGGAAACCTGCTGTGGGACATCCGGGAGGGTGCAGCGAGCCCGCAGGCTCTGCGCTCCCTTCGCCTCCCAGTTAACACAAAACACAGCCCTCACTGGCTGCAGTGTTTACGGGTGCCAGCCCGCCATCCTGCCTTCCTCACAGTGAGGGGGATCGAACCCTTGGCCTCAGGCACTCCTGGCGGTATTTTATCACTTGGACTACATGCTCAGCTTAACTTCTTCTTTTGTTTTTTAAAGATACACCTCTCTAACAAAAACTATTTTCACAGGAGAGCAACAGAAAGAGACAGAGAGAGAGAGAGAGAGGGAGAGGGAGAGAGCAAAGCAGTGTCTTCTCTGTCAGGAGCCGAGTGCGGTCAGGGACACTTACCGGAGGACCTGCAAGACACAAGCAGAGAAGCCACCATCAGCAAGGAGGGCAGAAGTCCCCTTGTCATCTGCAGCACAGCCCCTGTGCCTCTGCCCCCACCAGGCTGACAGTGGAGTCACAGCTGCTTCCTGTAATAGCCCTGCGGCCGTGTGGCAGAGAGACGGACACGGTGGGCTCAGGCGCTGATGTGTGAGTGGAGACGCTGCCTCCACTCGTCCTGTCCCGCGCGGTGCTGGAGGCTGCAGCAGCCCGGGAAGGTGCAGACCTCCCTCTTGCTCAAGAAGGAGCTGGGTGACTGAGAGAGAGAGGCTGGGGGAGAGGGTGCCCTGGAAAAGGGGCGGGAGTGTGTGTGCCAAGGCCTGGGTGCTCATGGAGAGGGACAGACGGCCCTCCTGACCGGCTTCTCATCCCGGATTCAACCAGTTCAGGAATAGGCGGAAGAGAAACGTGCCTGCACCGAACACATGTGACCTTTCTCCATCACTGTCCCCCCACGGCACCATGACAGCCGCCTGGGCAGCACTTGGATAAGCGCGCAGGGGTCATGCGCACGTCCGACCCGTTTTATGCCAGGGACTCGATCTTGGCGGCTTCTGGAAGCAGTGCCCCGGGACACCGGGGATGCGAACAGCAGGAAACCCTGAGCGCCCAGCTGCTGCCAATCCTGCCTCAGGCGCTCACCTCACACCGGAACAGGCTGTGCGGAACGGCGCTGGAAAACAGACCCTTAGGAACCTGCAGGGGAGGGACCAGCGGACGTCACTCAGCCCCCGGGCTGCTGGGGGGCACAGGTGAGGCACGGCCTCGGGGCAGGACCGCGGCAGTGAAGTCCCCAGTGCTCTGTGGAGGAGCAGTGGAGGGCCCTGAGTGGGCTCGGAGACCCCAGGGCCCCCACAGGGAGGCGGTGGTGACGGAGGAGGTGCCCAGGAGGCCCTTGGGGGGCAGCGCACAGCGGAGGAGAGAGATGACACCAACGTTTGGCTTGAAAACGGAAGTGCTAACGCGCCAGGATGGGCTTGGGCGTGTGTGTGTGTGTGTGTGTGTGTGTGTGCACACTCGAGCGTGGCTTCCCCAGGCCTAGACGGGGCGGAGCACTGTGCCGGCAGCGTAGAGGCAGACTTTTCCGAAGCTGTGACCTTGCTTCCTGTTTCACAAAGAAAAAGCTGCGGGTCAGACTACCTCACCTTCCTCCTTTTTTTTGTTTTTGGTGTGTGTGTGTGTGTGTGTGTGTGTGTGTGTGTGGTACAGGGATTGAACCCAGGGCCTTCACATGGAGCTACATACCTGTCCCTTAAAATTTTTTTTAAAAAGTTTTTTCTGAGACAGGGTCTCACTAAGTCAGTAAGTTCCCCAGGTTGAGCTTGAACTTTGGATCCTCCTGCCTCAGCGTCCCAGAGTGCTGGGAATAGAGGTGCACGCCACCACATCCAGCAACACCTTTCTAGGACTAGACGGATATGCCTGCCTGCATGCCCCTCAGCTTAGCTTGGAGGAACCCACCTACTTCCAACTGCGCCCCCGCACCTCCCTGGAGCCCCGCCCCACCCACCGGCCCTCTCGGTCGGCACAGACGAGCTGTCCTCTAGCAGGTCCCTTCCCCAGTGTGCTGAGACACACTCTATTGCCCCAGTGGAAAGCCCATTCTTCGGTACTCCCCTCTGCTAGGGTTTACATCTAGATGTCCCCAAATCCTCACGTGCTCCTAGGTGGGGCTTTGGGAGGTGGTGGGACCACGGAAGGGTGGAGCAGCCCATTGACTTTATAGTCAGCTGTGTGGTTGGCAGGGAGAGCCTGGCTGGAGGAGGCCTCTCATTGAGCCCTGGCTCTGTCTCCCTCCCTCCCCCGATCTCGCTGCTTCTTGCTGCGCCGCCATGAGCTGTTTCTCCTCCGCCAGGCTGTCCCGCCTTGGAGCCAGCTGACTATGGACTGAAACCTCTACAAACTGCGAGCCCAAATAAAGCCCTCTTTCACTTGTGGGTGTCAGTGAAGAGAAAGTAACAAAGACACCTCCTTCACGGCCCCATCCTGGCTGGCTCCCGCATAGCCAGATTGCTTCCTGCGGGTGTTCAGCCTCACTCTCGCAGGGGTCCTCGTCTTCCACTTCATTGTGACCCCCACGCAGCTCTCCCCAAGGAGCCCAGCGATCTGTCCTATGCCGACGACCCAGCCCCCACTTCTCCCTCGCATGCTACTCTCTCTCCCGGCGGCATCCACACTTCTGCGGCTTCTCGGAACGCTCTCTTCAGAGCTTTCCGCAGATGTCCCACCCGCTACTCCCTGGCCTTTTGTCTCATCACTGACCGAGTCTCCTCCGTCCAGCTGATGCAGGAACCTCCCTCAGGGCTCGGGGCTGGAGGGTCCTCTCGGGCCTCTACCCTGCTCACCTTCTCTCCTGTCTCCTCCAAGGACCTCAGCACAGCGCAGTGTGCCCTGCCGGCCTGCGCGGTGCCTCTGCATCCGGACTCCCTTTCGAGCTGCCCACTTAGCGTTTCCCCTTGAACGACACAGAGCTCCTGCGTGGACAGCACAGCTACACTCGTGATCCTCTCCCCATAGACCTGCTCCTCTTCCTTAGCTGCTGGTCTCCAAAGGGTGTCGCACCTACCTAAGGAGCCAGAAAGCAAGGGGCTCCCTTGACGTGCTGTCCCTCCCTAATCTGTTCTGGCATGGATCATGTCTCCTTCTCCTCTTTTCCCTTGACTTAGGGTCTTGTTATGTTGCTCAGACTGATCTAGAATTCCTGGGCTCAAGGGATCCTCCCGTTTCAGCCTCCAGAGTAGCTGCACTACCCGTGTGTGCCACTGTGCACAGCCCATAGTTCCATGCTTTGGGATCCATTCACTGACCCCCTCTGACACAACAGCCCAGATCCCCGAGACTGCCAGGGACGCACGACGGCAGTGGCTTCCTGACTGATCTCAGTCGGCCCTGACCCCAGACATCTGCCGATGACTTGCTCTCTACCCTTCTCTGTTTCAGGCTCCTAGGGTTTGCCTGTGAAAATAACAGAGATCCTGTCGTACTACAGCTTCCTTCTCAGCGAAAGAGACAGAAGAGGTGAGTGTGATGAGCTCTCTGCTGGGGACTCACACAGGGCGGGACTGCTGTGCTGGGGAGGGGCACTCAGGAGGAGGCCTGGAGGAGGGGAGTTCCCACCACGGAGGGTTGGGCCGATGTGCTGAGATCAGAAGACAGGTGGGCAGGAAGGACGCAAGGCCAGGATGCGAGAGTGATCCTTTTCTAGGTGAGGGCTCCCTAGGTGGCTCAGGCTGTGTCAGAGCTGTAACTTCCCCTGGCTCCTGAGGAGCGTGGACCGCAGACACCGCCAAGCCCAGCACCAATGAGGCTGTGACTGTGAGGACTCTGCAGCTGACCAGGCTGCGGTGGTGGGTGAGGCCGGGCCCAGGGGAGGACAGGGCTGGGCCTGAGGCCGCGGGTGGAGGGCTTCTCTGTCTGGCAGAGGGGTGCCGAGAGGGAGACAGCGGCTGGTGAGATACAGTCAGGAGGGGATTAAGTCCTAGTGTTCTCCAGCATGGAGGATGACTACGGTTGACAACAATCTGTTGTACATTTCAAAAAAAGAAGAGAGGCCGTCGCCTGTCACAGCACAGAAATGACAAAGGTTTGAGGCATAGGCATGTTCATTACCCCACGTGACCACAACACAGCACGGACCCCATAAACCTCTACAAGACCGCACACCAACTACAAAGAAAACAAATCAATACAGAAACACTTCAGGGGGAAAAAGGACAAACAGGAATTAAGCCAAAGTCATGTTGGAGAGGACCTGTACCCCAGGGGCGGAGGCCACAGCAAGAGTGGTCAGACCTAGCTGCAGACAGTGCCCCCCAGGCTTCAGAGGGGAGAGGGTGACTTCCAAACGCAGGTCACACCAGCCTCTCCGCCTCTGGGGAGCCACACTCAGTCCTTCCTTCCAGGCAGAGATCGGCCCTCCCTAGCCCACGGGCGGGTTCCCAGGCTGCCCCTGCAGCGGTGGCCCCAGAAGCACAGGGAGAGAGGTGGGGCGGCAGGAAGACTGACCCTGGCCGGGAGCAGTGCACACCGACCCGTAAGTCAGCCCGAGCCAGGATAGATTCAGAAGGGACCAGAGATCCTCAGGTTTAAAAGAACCATGAACTCCTTGGGGAAGTGGGAAAATCCCTCTCTGACTCCAGAGAAAGGCAGCTTTTCCGACATGTTCAGGATCCAGAAGCCATGAATAAAATCCACTCTAGTCACAGAACCAGAAGTCTGCACAGTGGAGCCAGAAGTCTGCAAGGCCTCGTAAGCAAACAACAGGCCACGCTGGAGCGCATGTACTTATGGCACGCAAGCTGGTGCCTTGGTATAAAACTCCCACAGCCGCTCTACATCATGGAAAAATGGGGCATTTTCAAAACATCAGCAGCATAATGGAAAAGTGATCCAGAGATATGAATGAAGGGTCACAGGACAGAAAATACAAACATCCCTTAAAAGTACGAAGTTCAAAAATCTCATCCCTGTTCATAATAACGGAAATGACAGTTAAATGCATAGTAATGTCAGACTAGAAAAAGTGGGAAAATGTCTGATGAACTAGCACGTGAAGGCAGGAAGAACGCCCATCTCACACATGGGTGAGAGAGACACTGGCACATTCTCCACAGACAGTGACGCGGCAATGCTTGTCAAACAGCGTCTGGAACGTAGGGCTGGGGCTAGCTCAGTGGGAGAGCGCTTGCCTAGCATGCACAAGGCCTTGGGTCCCAGCCCTGGCCCTGTCCCCCCAACTTCACATGTACATGCCAATTGCCATAACAGTTACCCCTAGACATTTATTCTGTAGATAGGTTAAAATAGGTGTAAAAGGCCAAGTACATCAGAATATTTGTTGAAGAACCACCTGAGATAGCAAGCGCATTAGAAACAACACAGGCACTAATTAAACAAAGAGCGATACAGCTGTAAATGGAATATTATGCAGCCACAAACAAGATACACTTCTGCATATCCCTGATAATAT